TGTATATGCACCGACAAAGAAGATGTCAAAATGTATGACAGTTTTCACACAAAGTTGCAAAGAAAATGTTTGAAACTGCCCTCCGCCACAATGTGAAACTATTGGCTCTCTGGAATGTCATGACAGCCTTTAGAGACCGCATACATGAAATTACACCGTTTAGAAAATCATGTATCATTATGTTTTCTCACAGGACAGCAAACACCTGAACTTCTTGACATCAGAGCAGGCACTGGCAGATTTTGCAGTCCTCATTAAAAACGTAAAAAGCACTCTACCTGGAGCTCAACGAAGTCCTGTTATTGCCATCGGAGGTTCCTATGGAGGGATGCTGTCAGCCTGGTTTAGAATGAAATACCCCAATATCGTTGTCGGGTAAGTCAAGTTTTAAGTTTTCTGACACATTTTAGGTCACATTTTAGACATTCATTCCAGAATAAAGTCTAAAAAAGGATACAATATGAGGTAATAATGGCTTGAATCAAGTACTTTTTATATTATTTTGCGTACATTCTGACTGTTTTAAAACAAGATTAGTCTTATTTAGTAATTTTTCAAGAACTTTTGCTTTATTTTCTCATTCCAAGGGAGATTTTTCTTGTCCACTTCGGCAAATCTTGTTTCAAGGCTGACAAAATGTGTTTAAATTAAGATACATTTTGCTGAATTGGAGCAATTTTTGGCTTGTTTTTCATCACTTTCTGCAGTGTAAATGTATACTTTAGATAGATAGATAGTACATAGATAGTCTTCAAAAGTATTGTCTGCCAGTATTCATAAAGAAGGTCTGGGTATTTCAGAGTTATAATTCCTGCGCCTGTACCCAAGGTAATGCATATGCGCCGACAAGTTTGAAAAATAAATGTGGACTTTGTGTTTTTCAGAGCGTTGGCAGCTTCAGCTCCAATATGGCAGTTCCCTGGTATGGTGCCATGTGGAGCCTTCTACAAAACAGTAACTGAGGACTTTGCCAAAAGTGGATATAACTGCGAAGTGAACATCAGAAAATCCTGGTCCTCCATAAATAACATTTCCTCCACTGGTATGTCTTTTTTAATACTTAAACATCCCTAATATGCAGGCTTTTAGTAAATTAAACAGGACCATTGACTTTCTAAAAAAAATCATTACGAGTTGTAGGTTTTAGCAGCTTGTAGAAAAGGCAGAGCTGAGTCCGAGCGCCAAAGAGGACAGCTTGAGAAACTGAATGTGTCGGATCCGTAAAATTTACAAGCCGCATAACTCAGAGCGTTTGAGCGCGTTGGTATTCCACTCAGGTCCGAATGAGAGGCGCAGCACTTAATTCTCCGCTGAGAGCCCCATACATCATGCTCTACTTGATTTCGTTCCACCAAGCACAGAATAGGAGATTAATTGTTGAAATAACTAATCTCCCCAAAAGTCTGGCTCTGTTTTACTGTAATAACATGAAGAAAAAGGTAATTTTCCCAATATTGGAGCTTGCACAAAATGTATACACTGCAAAAAGTGATGAGAATGCTCAAATCCAGTGTTTTTTTTAATCTGTCTTAAATTTTATCCCATTTGCCAATGGGATAAAGGTGTTTAGTCTTATTTCAAGAACTTTTGCTTCATTTTCTCATTCCAAGGAAAACATTTCTTTTATGTTTTTAAAACAAGATAATATTGCTTGTCCCATGGCAATTTTTTGGAGTTTTAAGGCAGTCAAAATGTGCTCAAATGTTAGAAACCTTTTGCCAGTTTTGAGCAATTTTTTGTTATTGGGTTAGTTACCTTTCATATTTTTGAGTCCACCCTAGTGTCCTGTGTAAATCAATATGAAAATATTGTTACAAAATGTTAGTTTCACATTGTAAGTTGAAGTTTTACTTTTGAACAATATTCTAATTTACCTGTAGTATTCACCTGTAAGTATACTGAAAAAAATTCTGCAGTTCTAGAATAAGCTTAGTAACTGAGTTCTTGCTCTATATTTCCTGGGCTTAGCTATAAACTGCCTCTAGACATAACATATGCAGTCCAACATCGTAAAACAATGTTAAATTGGTTGTTGATTCGAGCAAATTTAAGCAATTTCTATTTCCTAAGTTTTGATCCCTTTAAATAAGTGAATACAAACTAGCATTTCTCGTAAAGATAATAAACCATCCATCCATCCATCCATTTTCTTCCGCTTCATCCGTTGCCGGATCGCGGGGGCAGCAGTCTAAGCAGAGACGCCCAGACTTCCCTATCCACACACACTTCCTCCAGCTCGTCCGGGGGGACCCCAAGGCATCTGAGGCTTCTCGGCCCCCACCACCCCCCTCCTCCTCCTCCTCCTCCTCACCACCACCCCCCTCCTCCATTCTTATTATTGTTGTGTACAAGCCGCCACAGTCATGCCATAGTTTCACTGATCATTTCACTGAGTTGCTTTCAGTTGTGTGCACAGATTTTGATGGTTTAGTCATTATAGGCGATTTTAATATTCATGTGGATAATGTTAATGACAGATACGCAAAAGAGCTGAGTTCCATACTTGAATCCTTTGGCCTCACTCAGCATGTGAGTGGCCCCACCCATAGCAGAGGACACACCCTGGACCTGCTTATCACGAAAGGGGTGAATATTTCAAAAGTTAATGTAGTTGATGTTGCTCTGTCGGATCATTTCTGTGTATTTTTTAACATGTGTTTTGCTACCAGACCACCCGCTAAATATGAAATTGTTAGAAGTAGACACTTAAATGAAAACACGGGTGAACTATTTATGGGAATGATCCATTTTGAGAACACATCATGTTCTACTGTAGATGAACTGTTTAACTCTGTCACCTCTAGTGTGTTGAATGTTCTGGACGCCATTGCCCCTGTGAAGGTAAAAATGGTCACAAATAAGCAAAAAGCCCCATGGATAAAAGCAGGTCCGGTCAGGGCACAGAAGCAAGAGTGCCGGAGAGCAGAGAGAAAGTGGAGAAAGTCCAACCTCCAGGGTGATTATAAACTCTTAAAAGAGAAGTTGTGTGAGTTTAACAAAGTACTACGTAGAACAAGAGAATTATACTTTTCTGAAACTATTGAAGGCTGCAGCAACAATCTGCGTGTTCTATTTTCAACAATCAATAGATTAACGAACCCCCCTGTTGAGTTGCCATTAGAACACTACTCCAAATCCAGGTGTAATGAGTTTGCACAGTTCTTCAGAGACAAGGTTCAGGGTATCAGAAATGCCATCACCTCTACAACAAAAGTAACAATGCAACATCCAGTGAGGCTTTGTGAGCTAGCTCAATTTGCACCTGTCAATGATGAAACTGTTAAAAAGATAATCACAGGTCTTAGTTCCTCTACCTGCAGTCTGGATGTACTACCTCCTAGATTTATGAAGTCTGTTATGTGTGGTCTATTACCCTCATTGACACAAATAGTAAACATGTCTTTTTTATCTGGAACATTTCCAATGGCCCTGAAAAAGGCAGTCATCAGGCCCCTCCTAAAAAAGAGCAGTTTGGATGCTGCGGTACTTGAAAATTACCGTCCCATCTCAAATCTGCCTTTCATGGGAAAAATTCTTGAAAAAGTTGCCTACCAACAACTTACTGAATTTTTAATATCTAATGACTCATTTGACATGTTCCAGTCTGGCTTTAGACCACACCACAGTACTGAGACCGCTCTAGTCAAGGTAACAAATGATATTCGGCTTAACACTGATGCAGGAAAAGTCTCTGTTTTAGTCATGTTAGATCTGAGTGCCGCTTTCGACACCGTTGACCATGAGATTCTCATGCAGAGACTGGAGGACTGGGTTGGTGTTGCTGGTACCGCCCTAAGCTGGTTTAGTTCCTATCTAGAAGAAAGGAAGTATTGTGTGGAGATTGGAGACTATGTCTCAGATAATATGGCCCTGACCTGCGGAGTGCCACAGGGGTCGATTCTGGGACCTCTCCTGTTCAATATTTACATGCTGCCATTAGGTCAGTTAATTCAAAGTATGAAAGTGTCCTACCACAATTACGCTGATGACACTCAGATCTATGTCTCACTGACTGCAGGAGAGCATGGACCGGTGGACTCACTCCTTCGCTGTATCCAGCGGATCAGTGAGTGGATGCAATGCAATTTTCTCCAGCTAAATGCGGACAAGACCGAAATGATTGTCTTTGGTCCCGAGAAACAAAGAGAGACCGTCATTTGTCACCTTCAGTCTCTCTCCCTGGGGCCTTTAAATAAGGTCAGAAATCTGGGAGTAATAATGGACTCTGACTTAAACTTCAATAGCCACATTGGATCGGTCACATCAGCAGCTTTTTATCATCTGAAAAATATTGCCAAAATTAAAAATATTGTGTCCAGGGCTGACTTGGAGATTCTTATCCATTCTTTTGTTTCCAGTAGGCTGGATTACTGCAATGGCCTGCTCACAGGTATCTCCAAACATGCAGTAAAACAGCTGCAGTATATTCAAAATGCTGCAGCCCGAGTCCTGACTAGAACCAGGAAGTACGACCACATTAGTCCGGTCCTCAGGTCTCTGCACTGGCTTCCCGTGGCCCAGAGGATAGACTTTAAATCAGCTCTCCTGGTGTACAAGTCTCTCCATGGCCTTGCACCAAAGTACATCCATGATATGCTAGTCCCATATGAACCAGCCCGGACTCTGAGGAGCGCAGGGACGGGACTCCTGTTAGTGCCCAGAGTCAGGACTAGACAGGGGGAGGCTGCTTTTCAGATTTATGCAGCTAAAGTCTGGAACAGTCTTCCTGAGGATGTGAGACTGGCTGCCTCTCTGTCAATGTTCAAATCCATGTTAAAGACTTTTCTTTTTTCCTGCGCATACAACTAGAGAATTTTATCTTTTTAACACACCTTGTTATTTATTGTTGTAACTTTTTGTGTGTTTAACTATTTTATTGTTTTTAATTACTTGTGTGATTCTTATGTTTTTAAATTACTTATGTGATTTTAATGCTTTTTAATTACATATGTGTTTTTAATTGTATTTTAATGGTGATGATTTGTGCATTGTGTGGTGTGGACTATGAGGCGCTTTGTGTTGCCCTGTGCAGGAAAAGCGCCCTATAAATAAAGATTGATTGATTGATTGATTGAAGGCGTTCCCAGGCCAGCTGAGAGACATAGTCCCTCCAGTGTGTCCTAGGTCTTCCGCGGGGCCTCCTCCCGGTGGGACGTGCCCGGAACACCTCCCCAGGGAGGCGTCCAGGAGGCATCCGGAACAGATGCCCGAGCCACCTCAACTGGTTCCTCTCGACGTGGAGAAGCAGCGGCTCTACTCCGAGCTCCTCCCGTGTGACTGAGCTCCTCACCCTATCTCTAAGGGAGCGCCCAGCCACTCTGCGGAGGAAGCTCATTTCGACCGCTTGTATCCACGATCTCGTTCTTTCGGTCATTACCCAAAGCTCATGACCATAGGTGAGGGAGGGAACGAAGATCCCTCCCCCCTGGACTGCCACCTTAACGTGGTGGGGGAGTTTGAGTACTCGGATGATCCTGGGAGCTATGCTGTCTGGGGCTTCATGCCCCTGGTAGGGCCTCCCATGGCAGACAGGTCTCAGGTGACGAGTCAGACAAAGAGCAGTCCAGAAGACACCATGGACAGCACAAATATGACATCAGTGACGTCGCCCGGCATGGCGCAGCCGGGGCCCCACCCTGGAGCCAGGCCTGGGGTCGGGGCTCGTATGCGAGCGCCTAGTGGCCGGGCCTTAGCCCACGGGGCCCGGCCGGGCTCAGCCCGAAGGGATGACGTGGGCAGTCCCTCCTGTGGGCCCACCACCTGCAGAGGGGTCCGTGGTGGCGCGGTGCTGAGAGGACTGGGCGGCAGTCGAAGGCGGAGACCTCGGCGACCCAGTCCGCACACACAACAAGATAATAAACATTGTAATTTATTAACGTGATCTTTTGTGTTGTTTTCTGTAAGCGTCTGGGCTTGAATGGCTGACAAAGGAGTTCAGTCTCTGCGATTCTCTCAAAAATAAAGACGTGACAAGCTTCAAAAACTGGCTTCAGGAGACGTGGGTCAACCTGGCCATGGTGGACTATCCCTATGAGGCCAACTTTCTGCAGCCACTCCCCCCATGGCCAATCCAGGTACTGCACCAGAAGGGCGATAGATAGATATTGTATTGTCAACTTTGTGTTTTAAATCAATTGTTTCCCTTCTGATTAACCCATTCATAGCTCTGTTAGTTTGTATTCTTCTACATTCAAGCAGCTATCCCACCTGTGCGCGTCCAGTATTTATTTTAAAGATTTGGCAGTGTTGTGCAAGGAATTTGGCGCGTATGAAAATGTGATATGCTGCTACTCTGTTGTACCCTTTGTGGAACACTCATACTATTTTATATTGCCAAAGAAATTTACATGGAAGAATCCACATAGACAATTGAGCAGAATAGCCATATAACCTATAGTTTGTGTGTGATGAGACATAAACAGACTAAACAATACTTTTTTATTATAGAATGAATAGGCAAATAGATTAGGCGCTGCAGACAGGTAGTTGAAGCCTTTGGTTTTTAATTCAAAACTACATTTACATTCAAGGTCAGTAAAGAATAAAATGTGTCTATGGGTCATGGCGTCAACTGCATACTTTGCACATGTGTAGCCCTTTAACTAGATACAGAGCACTTCTAGAGTTGAATAGTATTTTGTTGTGGTTGAAAACATCCAATTTGGCCTGCCTGTCTCTCTTTAATTGGATTGAATGAGGATCCAGCCGATTGTGTTACAAGTGTTTGTTGTGGTCTTTGCTGTCAATTAGCTTCATCAATATTCATAAGGATGCAGTTCTATTAGGTTTGGTTTGAAGTATTCTTTAGATGAGCAGCACCACGTAATCCCTCTTTCTTGTTCCTCTTTCATTCACACACTCTGCACATCACTGACGTCTTCTCTTATGGGACACAGTTAAAGGACATACCCAGTGTGGCTCTTGTGCGCTTTACACAAAGGGTCAGTGCTCTCACTTCAAAAGCACCATGACACATGCTGAAATCCTGCAGCTATACATGTATACTATATACAGTATTATCAAAGCCATGTACTGTACTGTATGTAATATTTATGGCACCATATGAGGAGGTATTGATCTGCACAGTTGCTCTGCTCTCCCTTTTTGAGTTTCCATTATACTTTATAACAAGAGAGGCCCCCAAACTGATTTTGAATTATTATGGGATATTATGGGCTACTGTGGGACGTTATACATTAATACATTTTCACAAGAACACAGCCAAATCATTTATTGTCAGTGAACAGGAAATTCACAAATGAAAAATTTGTTTTGGCGTTTAGAATCTTTAGAATTTAACATTGAACACAAAGCGCAATCAGTAATAGTTAGAGGGGAAATAAATACATTGTTCAAAGTTGCATAATGCACCTTTTTAAATGAAATGTGAAAGGTCCTTCCATCGGTCCAGTTTTGGTTCAATGCATACATAACTCATTGAATTTACAAAAATCTACTTAGGTAAATACAGTCTATTTTGACACTAATTATTAGCCTGGATCCAGCCGACTGTTTAGACCCAAAAAATTAACTTATGTAGGCGGGGCTAAAGGCTAACTAAACGTGCCTCCCATCCCTACTAAAACTTGTTGTTGTGAAATTTTTGATGAAGTAGATAAGATTCATATTATTAGTAGATCAACATACAAGCTTTTTCCCCTTCTGTTTTTTTGCATGCACCTCGTCTTCTGTCACTTTTCCCCGGGCACAGACTAGTACCCAGCCGTCCCAGTCCATCACGTGCATTAACAGCACTCTGCTATTGACCTTGGTCCCCAGTATTTGAATACATCACCGGTCCCCCACATTGAGCACGTCTCCTTCCTTCCGTCATATCTTTTTGTTTAGGCTCTGAATAGCCCCAGGTGCATTGAATTAGCTGAAATAAACACTAAATAACCATTAAAAGATTTCTGGCAACCTGCCTGTAATGTATGCGACCCCTATGGGTGGTTTAAGCGGTTTAGGCAATGGGTGCAAAGAGGAGCTTTTTTTAATGACAAAGCTAATGTGATTATCTGAGTGAGTGTGAGAACAGGCTATTGAAGGCTTAAAGCAGGGAAATCTGTTGGCAAAGATGAATGTATGCGGATAATCCTGTCTGAAAAGTGAGGAGAAGATGCTTGGGAGATGCTGTTTTAGTTTTTTTCCAAACTGCAAATCTTAGTTGGAGACATGTCTGCCTTCCTCATCCATCGACCACCAACTCCTCCCCGGGTTGACACACAAAAGCCCTGGTTACAGACTCCAGGGTCCTACCTCCACACAAGAGAGAGCCCACTTTTCTCCAGCCTCACAAAAAGCACCGAACAACAGCCAACCCTGCCACGACCACCATAACAACATGCACGCACCAGCAGAACCGCACAAAGCTCAAACTCAAATATTGGGCCATGTCTGGAGAAATCATCAATGCTTAATCAATGTAGTTTAAAAGAAAAGTACTCATTTACGAATACAGGAGGTTGAGGCGAAATGCTTGAGCGTGGGCGGTTGAATAGCCCTGATCGGAGCAATAAATTCAGGCTCATTGAATTGTGTATGCAAATGAGGCGCCACCGGAGTTTATGTGAAAAACACTTTATGGGGCTCAAGGGAAGTATGTTGCCAACGGTAGGGCTAAGGAATTGATTTGTGAAATGTTACCACAAGATTGCAAACATCCTATGAAGTAGTTTGAGTTGGAATTTGGTTGCTATAAAATTTTTGTCAACTAAAATAATCTTTATCATCTGATCCTTGAACAAGTCAGACCAGAAGTGTCTTGAAAAAGGACTTCTATTCATTATTATTTACATGTTATTGTTGTTTTTGCTTCAAGGTTGTATGCAAGTATCTCACTATGGACGCTAAGGCATCAGACAAACTTCTTTTAAGAGGTGTGTCTCAAGCCGTAAAGGTTTACTATAACTACACTGGTGGCAGCTCCTGTCTCAACATCTCTCAGACAGCCACTGGCAACCTCGGCATTGTGGGCTGGTTCTATCAGGTAGGATACTTTTTTTCATGTATGGTCACTTACAGTATTTCTACACATGCCATCTATTAGCTGTCTTAAAGCTGGGGTACCCATGTTTCAAACTACAACAATAGAACGATGTAATACAATCCATCTCTCTCAAAACAGTTTCTATCACTAGTATTCACATGCAAGATTGTATTTATTTATTTTAGACCAGCTTATTCCAGACATATAGGCAAAAAAAGCAGATCACCCTGACTCAGCCAATCAGCTTTCAGCCCAAAGTATCAAATGGTGAATTGCAGAGCTCTTTTTAAAAAGTTTTCAAAAGATCAAATGTTTTGTAATGAGATTAAGGCAGCTGCAGCATGCCCTGATCTGACTTGTTCAAAAATTTTTTACTTGTATAATACTTACCAATACCAATACAAATATTATCTGGTATACACGGAATGATTAAAAACAAGTTAGGTACCACACGCTTTGATAGTACTATTAGAGTTACTGTGTATATAGTTCCTGATTGTTTCACTGATTCATATCTTACTGGTAGAAGTATACAATATGAATTACAGATGTATGCTTACTTTTGTCCATTGGTTTTCAAAACATAGTGTTACAATGTGTTATTCATGAGAAAGATTTCTAAAAAAAATGAAATTGTTTGTGTTGTTTTGTCTGGTGGAATTTGGGACAGAATCGTAGCAAGTTGCATTTCGGGCCTCGTGAAGAATGAATACGTCAATGTTTAATAGATTGAATTGCTATTTGAAAAAATAATATAGGAACCAGTTCGTTTTATGTGTCTATAGGTAAACTTAAAAATGTAGTACAGAAAAGCATTTACTTTTTTACTACTTACTCACTGTCTGGTCTTTCTATATATTATTATTTTCTCTTTATATTTGTGTGAAACAGTCTGGAAAGGATCTATGATTGCCTCATTTCCCCTGTCACCTCCACAGGCCTGCACAGAGATGGTGATGCCTATGTGCTCTGACGGAGTGAATGACATGTTTGAACCAGAGGACTGGAACTTCCAGGCCTTTTCGGACGAGTGCAATTCTTTGTTTGGTGTGAGACCTCGATCCGAGTGGGCAGAAGTGGTCTACGGAGGCAAAGACATCAGCGCTCATAGCAACATAATTTTCAGGTGAGCCAAGTTAACTACTACAGACATATTCATGCATGATCCAAGGTTTGTTCAGACGGAGTAATGGAATGTGAATACAAAATATATACATGTTTGGAGTTACTTATTAGTTCAGACTGGTGGTGTGGCGAGAGAGCAAGGGCAGATTTAGCTCATAAAAAATGTTCACTGGAATGTCATTTTCATTGTAGATAATGATTAACAACGAAAACGTTGTATGTATTTAGTTACAGGATACAGCTTTAAAGAGTATTTTGTATGTATGTTTCAATAAAAGTACTGTATTCTGATTACTTGTATGCTCAACTATTTATTATTGTATTGTAAAAATGCAGCATAACAATAGAAAAACTGATAATAACTCATGTTTCGCAGTTATGTCAAACTCATAAACAGTATAGATGGACAATGCTAACCCCTAAGCCTAGCTCATTGAAGCCCAATTTTTGCTCAATTTCAATATCAAACACCAAAATGTATTCCTTATGTATTTTTTTTAAGTAACAGCATTTGGAATACATACAAAATAGAAAAAAATACATAATGTTTTACTTGGAAACTTGTGCTGTATAAATAAACTGGATTGGATTCTCGGTACCCAAAGAGTTTAGTTTTACCTGATTAACATTACAAAGCCCTAACAAACTGAGTCACAACCTTGAAATGGTCTAACAACATCCCATTCAATACAATTCAGTTTATTTGTGCACTTCAGCCATAGCACTCACTGTAGACGAGTTTGTCATTTTCCCTGTGTTTTCTTGTCCACAGTAACGGAGGCCTGGATCCGTGGTCGGCTGGAGGAGTGACTCATAACATCTCGGAGTCTCTGGTATCCATTGTGATTCCTGACGGAGCGCACCACTTGGACTTACGCTACAGCAGCGAGCACGACCCCCCCACTGTGAGAGCGGCCCGGGCTTTAGAGATCAAGTATTTTAAAGAGTGGATTCGGCAGGCCAAAAAGGCTCACCGACCCCACTCCAACTCCAGACTCTAACAGCACTAGCATCATGGGAAATAACTCATAATGCAAGCAGCGCCGTATGCATTATGATAAAAAAAATGCTGAGGTCCATTTACCACCAAAGTTAGATGTTGGCAGGAGTTTGAAATTGGGTCATTAAAGCTGGAGTACCTAACTTTTAAACCACAACTACATAACTAGTTTGTCACGCTAAAACTGTTTGGCTTTATCGCTAGTTTTCACATGTCTGTATGTTTTGGCCTCTGTCACATCTTTAGACCAGCTTTTTGAGTGAAAAAAAAGTACCATTCCTCACTCAGCCAATCAGCTCTCAGTATGTAAATAAACAATGCATTTTTTTAAGATACAGACAGCATTTGGTTTGATTTGTTCATAAAATGTTGTTACTTATATCTTTTCTTCTGGGACACACAATATATTTCTGAAACGAGACAAAAAGTTAGGTACTCCAGCTTTAATTGCGACTGCTTAAATTGTATGACAGTGCAGTTTGTGGGCTATTCCTGTTATATCAGTTCATGTAAATCTAAAGAGATGATCTTGTATAACAAAATATGAAGCCCTTTCAAGTTGCAGCACTTAAATTATAATGACTACTTATGTAGGTGTTTTGTGAGCAGTTCCCACTTGGATGTACGCCTTCTTTATAACTACATGTGGAACTCAGACAATTAGAATATCATACACAGGTTCACTTACCTCTGGAACTTATTTTAAACTGTGAAACCAATATATGTTAGACTCATTACATGTATCAATTCTTTATTTGTTATGCTGATAATTGCTTGCATAAAAACCCCAAATAAAACATCTGACAATTTTGTTTAAATGGACTGTAAACTATAATAATCCCTGGCATATGTCACTTTGCATGTAATGAGTCTACACCGTGTACTGGCTTTTCATTTTAAACAGAATTTTCCATGTTTCACCTGTGAATGTTAACCAATTGTCCATTTGATTGACATGTTGCTTAATCTGATCATTTCAATCAGTAATCACAGCCCACCTTATATGTTTTTATGTTTGTTTTTTTAAAACTTTTTTTAAAATACAATTTACAGACTACATTGGCCTGATTATGGTATATAACAGTGTAGGCATATATCATGTGATCTAAACCAAAAACATTTTCTGTAATCCAAAGATGAGAAATATAGAATGTAGAGTTGGCAAGGCAAGGCAAGGCAAGGCAAGTTTATTTATATAGCACAACAATTATGCAAAATGCGTCTCTACCTCAACATGCTGTTAATTGTTTTTTCTACTGAATAAAATAATGTCTTTCTCAAAAAGCGTGGAAAATTTTTCCAATAATTTAAATACCGATTTGTTTAGAGTTTTAATTATAGGCTCGGCTTAATCTCATCTGTCACATCTTGGACAAACCAAAGCTACTTTTTACTGCCTTGGATGTCTGGCAGGAACAATCGTGTGTTTGAGATTTAATAAAAAGCCAATCGGAGGAGGCCAATAAAGCAAGTGGTAGGAGGTTATTGCATCTTCGCTGGCTGACCTTACCCCTGTGGATCGACCTGTGGGATTCCCCTTGGCTCGTATTCATTTTACTCAACGCCATTAAAACGCTGTGAATTAGAGCAGCAGGACAGCCCATAGACCCCAGTCACAAGCCCCCCACCAGTAATATTATTAATACAGCGCCTGGAGAGAGCAGAGGTGGGTGGAGGTTAAAAGTGAGAAAGAGTCTTTTGTGGTTCACACATTTTTTCAATAACTCAAATGACTTCAATCATTAGAATAAAGCTAACCAAGACTTGCCTTTTCAGCAAAACTTTACTTTCCATTTTCAAACATTCTCACAGTTAAATTTAAAGGTGCAGTAAAGGATTCAGGTTAGCTTGGCAGTAGCACACGAATAGCACAGAATTAAAAACCACTGATCTTCTCTTCTTTGCCACATCAGGGCGAGTGGGTGGAAAACGTGAAATTGGCACTTTGGGGGTTTGTGGTTCAGCCATTGTAGGTGTTTTAGAAAATCTGACTCAATAACAACTCGGACAGGTGTGCTGACGAAAAGCAGGAAGGGGAATGAACTGGTTCGAGGGGGGCTGAACGCATCCCATTGGTTTTGTTCTTCCTCTTTATTTTTTGAGGTTACAGGCATCTGGTCATGTTCATTCCTATTTGAAAACATATGATAACTTGACTACTTTGGGGTAAAAGGTTGTTTCCCCACAGTATTTGAAAAATTGCATCCAGATAAATAGTTTTTGGCGTCTTTAAAGGTACACTGTGTAATTGCATACTGCCATCTAGATCTTATATTGCATACCAGGGTACTACGGAAGCCTTTGATAGACAATATGTGTCTTTAGTTTGGTCAATGACCAGATCTCTCCAAACATCTCGGGCACAGTGTTGCCAACTTAGCGACTTTGTCGCTAGATTTAGCGACTTTTCAGACCCTATAGCGACTTTTTTTCAAAAAAGCGACTAGCGACAGATCTAGACAAAGCATTAAAATCATTAAATGTTGTTAATGTTGAAATTATTTTTGTACATTTGTAGTTCTAAACATATTTAGGGTGTTTTTTACTCACTTTTGTCTCTCCCACGACGTTCGTTACAGTTATTTGCAAATTGCCAATTATGCAAATTAGACGATGACGTCATTTAGCAACTTCTAGCGACTTTTGGGACAGCCAATAGCTACTTTCCTTACTGAGGAGTTGGCAACACTGCTCGGGCACTTGACAGTCGCGTGGACTCGGAGGCGACATGTAAACAAGACCACGGCACCTTGCACAGTGGCTGCACTGAGTTTTACCATGGATCTATTATAATATATAATTTTACAAACGCGGTGTGAAGAGAAGAGAGAGAAGCATGGAGGATTAATATCTGCGGGAGCTTAAAACTACGATGATCAGAGAGGCAGGACATGGCTAAAAGCTTATGCTATAATTAGCATTAGCCACAGCGCCCTATCTGCATCACGGTAAGAAACAGAACATTCACTCACGCTGCTGATGAAGTATTCTGGCGATTGTTTTGTGGGGATTCTGTGTGTGTTTTATTTGAGGCTTGTTCCTGAATAAGTTTTGTTGAAACTTGTGACATAGTAGTTGGACTGTGCTCGTATCGGGTCAGAACATCCTGAGACTGTTGCAGATTCTGCCTCGTTCTCATTATTGTCAGTCTGAAAAAGTTACGTATTGTTCATGTGTGTGTCAGTTGTGTACAAACTACACAATGTGCCTCCTGTTGGTTTAACTTTTGTTTTCGGTGCGTGTGGTTTATTTTTTAAGATTGTCGTTCCAGTCGTTCTTTTACATAACTGTGGTCCTCCATGGTTCCTTCTTCAAACTTGCAGGGCACGGTGAAAGCAAGGATATCAGTAGCAGTTGTGCAACGAAAAAGGGATTCTTGCATCCTTTTTGTCCCTTATCCACCACTGTATTACAAGATGGTGGCGCATTGGTCCTCTGCGCTCATGGACATTTATGCGTTGAATTCAGAAACATGGTGGAGATAAATATTCTGAAAAAAGTCACATCTGTTATTAGTTAACATGTTTATTTCATATGGAGCAACTGTAAAAAATACACTGGGTGACTTTAAGAAAAGTACAACAACATATAGAAATATATAGATTCTGTATTGTTTCAGTATTGTAGTGTACAATACAACAATATACTGCCTAAACTGAAAAATACCAAAAGTTAGGCTACATTTCTCGTGATGAGGAGTACATTTTAATGTCTTAAAACGCCTTATAATGTCTTTTTCGCACAAAAATATTAGCATAGCTGCACATAGACATAGTTGCTTGTAATATTAAAATGTACTTGAATCAATGTTTCAGTTCCTTAAAACAAGATTTGAAAATTGGACAAGCAAGACAAATCTCACAATTACTACTTTATATTGTATCAGTTTTGAGCTGTATCTTTCATATTTTTAACACAGAAAGTATGAGTATGTGTTTAAAATAGAGCTGCAACTAACGATTATTTTGTAATCGATTAATCTATCGATTATTTTTACGATTCATCGAGTAATCGCTTGGCTGTGAATTGTGTAGAAAAAAATTATTTTTTCATCACAAAAAGCTAAAGTGGCAACACTCGAGGACGTATTGATGGCGTAAACTTAAAGTAAATGTTTGTAACAGGCTCTTTGTGCTAATTCTGCTATCTGATTGGATGAGACGGACAGATATTCATGAAATTATAAAAACAAAGTCAGTTTTAATCAAAAATACTACATTTTTATGTCATTTTTGCTCTGTTTGAGTCTGTGTGAACCAGAAAACGATTAATCGATTACTAAAATAGTTGTCGACTATTTCAATAATCGATTAGTCGTCGATTAATCGATTAGTTGTTTCAGCCCTAGTTAAAAACGGTTCAAATAGGCAGCATGTGGTAAATGTGGGGTGATTCCCATCAACCCTACCCTAACGTTGCCCCAGTTCTGAGTGACTCCATGATGACCCTGTGTTGTGAGAAAATGTAGCTAAACATGGGGGAGGACGTGCCGCTGAAGTCCACGCCACTTTGACTTTTCTCAAGACTTTGAGAGGCAATTAATTTTACCAGCCTTTTCTAAGTCTGTGACACCAGCCATCAATCAACGGTGTTATTAGTATTCCCTCGACCCTTAGCTCCAGTGCGGCGGGACACTGGAGAGGACCACACACTAGTAAAGGAAGAGATTAGCCAGTGCATGTTTCAGACCCCACCCCTCATCCCCCACAAGACATTGGTGCTGCTGAATAAGTGGATTCTCTGGGACGAAGGGCTGGCTGGTAATGTTTAACAATATGTAAACAATATGGAACCAAGACACAATAAGTGACAAACTAGTGGTGAGCAGATTGGTAATGACTCTTGTACCGAAGAAATCAAATAATCAATTCATCGAAAAAGGGGCGTAAACTAAGGTTTCGAGAAGAAAAGCAGAACAGGGCACCTGACTGCAATAAATACACTTTCACAAAATGTATTTGTTTTGCCTATTATTAAAGCTGAGGTACCTATACATTTCTTTTGTATTATAAACAATAGATGTTTGTCTCAACAGAAAGAGGCTTCACCATGTAACATATCACACCACAAAATTCTGCCTTCATCTTGTCCAAAAGATATTATCTTGGCATGCTGGTAAGAAAGAGCCCTGTGAGTCACTAATAAACTGGACAGAGAGCTGATTGGTTGAGAAAGAGTGGTCCTCTTTTCTCACTTTACTTGTCTGAAAACATTAAGCTAAAGACATGACAAAGGCCAAAAATATTTGAATGTGAAAACTAGTGATACTGTTGTGAAAGTGAGAAAGAAGATGGAATTTATTACATGGTATATTAGCATATTTTTAAATCCAGGTTACCCAGCTTTAAGGATTAACTTTTATTGGTCTTAAGTGAAGATACTGTCTCTGTCTGGTTGTATTATTACTTGATGAAATGATCATGTCAAAATACTGTTTATAATACAGTATGGCTTTCAGGGTAGAAAAAATGAATAAATCACAGTTCGCATAAGTTTTGATCATATCCTATCTTTAAAATACTCAAAAGTCATCCAATTGTTGTTGAGAGAAAGCTGAAAACCTTGAATAGTGCATATAATGATAAGATTAGTTCTGACAGACCTTTTATACCAAATCATGATTCACAGAGCAGCACATAGCAGACGACTTGCCGTGGGCTCCCCTAAAGACAGAAATACCGAGAACCAGAGCAAAAGAACATTGGTGTTTCAATAATGAACTCAAATAACCTCAACTTAGCACTTTTCTACGATTATCTAAACTTGTCCGTCACAGTCCCAACTCCTCTCGCCCTCTCAGCCTTTTATGCAACAATAGAAAGTTGTTTCCGGGCTCCGTGCGTCAGCCCCTGTGATGTGAATGACCCACCAGCACAAAGCCCGAGCTCGTCATCCACTGCAGAAAGAGGGGGATATGGCTGCCATGACTGGGATGATGTCACTTTGCCGAAACGCCAAGAAAAAAAGCAGACAAAATCACTTCAGGCAGGCGTTGAGAGGGCTGCTTTGAGACGTTCGACACTTCGGCACAAAGAGTTTCCTCCTTCTCTCTTTGACTATAGTGGTGGAGAAGATGGTAAAGAGACCTATACGGAAATATATATATATTTTTTATACAGATTCGGATTAATATTCAGATTCATTTTATTTGCAATCCCATTGGAATACATGTGCAAAAGTACTCCAGTATGCACCACACAAATGTACAACTTACAATCACTATGAAATCAATCAACAAGTGTTTCAATACAAGTGCAAGATTACTTTAGTGCTTTATTTAAACAGCTTGTTGGAAGAAGCTGTTAGTAAAAGTAGATGTCCTGCATCTCAGTTCTGCCAGAAGGAAGAAGCTGGAACATGGCAAAATCCAACATCCAGTGTGGCCAGAAGACTTTGATCCCAACTGTTAATATAGCTTCCAAATGTACAACTTCCTAGTCACACTCACTGAAATTGTAAGCCTCTAAAAGTGTGTGCAAATGCAAATACTATTTAATCTTTTTTTTCATATTAATCTTGCGTAGGATCTTTTGACACCTCCGCTTCAATTTCAGCCGATCAGCAATATTCCCACAATGCAACAGTTAGAGACATCTATGGACTGCTCAGACCAAATGCAAGTTATTGTTTACAACGGTAGCTTCATAGCTTGGATTTCTTACGTTCAAAATTTCTTCTGGCACACTGAACCCAAACTGCACTTTTTTTATTCCCCTTTAATTTAACAGCTCCGGCAGCTTTTCTAGTTAAATCGACTGTTCATTATTGAGACCCATTTTACGAAGGGGCTGTGAGGTGCAATTTAATGAATCTCTGGCACAAAGCTCCCTTTCACTGCCGGCCCGAAGAATAGGGGCTATTTAGACCCTGTAGGGCTTTATGTCAAAGGCAGCCCATAATAGTTGTCAGACCGGGGCAGAAATTCCCACTGGCCTGGGAATGCACTAGAAATCAACTTTTGCCATGAGCAGATTAAGACACAGAAGTAAACTGTTGGAGATCCTCCTAAACAGTAGCATCTGTTTGGGCACAGTCATTTTCCCACAGAAGATCTTTTATCATCACTGTGCCTGGCGAGCTCATAAGAGTACTTATAGAAGGTAATAGAATCAGTATTATAATGAATTGGGCTGCAAAAAGGGTTACATGAAAACACACAGGAGAGAACATAATGTATTTCTCAGTTTATACCAGGAGCATACAAATCAGGATTAGGATAAAACTTATTTTTCAGATAAAAGGCTAATCCAGTTTGGACTTGAAAGTTGTTCAAGTAATATTCTCCGATTACATGAAAAGGGTTCGGAGCTCTATGTGTACAATTGACTATACAGGGAAGTTTTCACAGATGTTATTGTCCTCAGCTCAGCAGGAAGCCTCTGACAAATCCCTCTCAGATGCAGGTGGTCGGGCCCAAGTAAAGAGTTAAGTCTTGCAGCCCCATTTGCCCCTCCCCTTTGGTGATCTGACGTCACTAGCCCTTCCCCGAGAAAGATCTCCCTAAGCAGGGCCAGTTCTACTCTGAGATGTTTACAGGAAGCACATGAGCTGCATCAGGACCTGGCGGCGATCAAGAGATGCTTTGAAGGGGACTTTTTTCTGCCTGGATAACAGAGGTGTGCCACAGGTGTCACCTCTCGGCCCAATAGAGTTATGGCTGTGCAGGCTGCAATCATGAACCCGCAGTTTTTGAATTTCTGTTTTCCCGGTTCAGTGGTGGACTATGATGTGGAGAAAAGTCTGGATGATGGCAGCATCCTGGGTGAGACAGAAACTGAAGAAGACTACAAAGAAACCACAAGGGATCTGCTCAGCTTTATAGACTCTGCCTCCAGCAACATCAAACTGGCATTGGACAAACCAGTTAAGTCAAAGAGAAAAGTCAACCACAGAAAGTATCTCCAGAAACAGATCAAAAGGTGCACAGGGATCATTGCACCAAGCAACGCCGCTGAACCAGCACCCTCAGCTAAAAGGCACGGGTCTCCCCCCATGGCCCAAACCACCAGCACTTTTCACACTAAAAACCTGCCTAAGCGCGATGGGGTTCATGCCAACTTACAGAGCAAAAGTCTGGCAGCTCTGTTCAGCCCTGTGCAGGATGTTAGAGGGGGTGAGAAAGCCAAAAAGCCACCCCTCCGGCATCGCAACCTGCCCCCATCCTTCTTCACAGAGCCTGCCAACTGCTCCAGAGTTTTCCCCAGTGCTGGGACAATGCTAAAGGACTTGGACAGAGGAAACGCAGAGCCGGTGGACTTCTTTGAACTCTTTGGGCCGGATTATGGCGGCATGGTCAGTGAGCAAGACCTTTATCAAACTTTGCCAGTTCGAGAGCACTCGGAGATGGGAGGACTGGAGACAGCGTCTTATGAGTCACAGCATTTGGTTGGAGGTCTGTTGTACTCTACTGAGCCCAAACTCACACACACACAGACACCCGGCTTCTGTCACTCGGACGCCACCTCTGGGACCATAGAGGACAGTTCACTGTGCACTTTGGCCTTCCCAAACTTCTTCACAGACTGTGCTCTACCTCAGGTCACTTATGATATTAGTGGTGCCTTCAGCAGGCCCAATTATTCATCTCTATGAGACTATGGAAACTTTCATAATGTTATTCAAACTTATGGAGCAGCATTTTTACAAATCACTTACACTTTCTACCTATGCAGACAAAAACAGTATGACAGTTTGTGTTCTTTAGTTACATTTATAAAATGTTGCTGTCAATAGAATACAATGTACTTGACATGGATGAGTCTTGTAGTAAATTATAAAGTGTTTTTCATTGATAATTTTTCTGAAAATGAGAAATGTTTGTCAATGTTAGACAGATAAATGTATCGTTTTTGTAAAGAACTGAATGTACTGTGTAATACAACATAAATAAAGCTGGTCTTTATTTCTTATGTCATTATAGCCTATATATGAAGACACTTGAAAGCTACATGTTTCTGTAAAAGCATTGCTTCTTTCATATCCTAAACACAAAAGTGGGCAAGAAGTAAGATACAGCTTCTGTTCTTTAATCAGCAGTTCATCACTTTCGAAAATCACCTGCATTCAATACTTTGAAATAAAAAGTAAAAAACTATACTATTGAACATTCTCTGTTGAAATGTTTATGTTTTATACCATATGGTGTAAGATTAAAGCCAAAGGAACCACCTCCAGGATCTGTATAAGTCAGATTTGTGAAGATGTAAAATAACCCACATTCACATGTTTTTATACTTTTTCAATGCCATAAAACATTCAAAGGAAAAAAAAAAATCATTGAACTTTTTTTGGTACACTTTAAATCCATTGAATAAAAAAAAAAAAAACTATATTATTATCAGCCAAGCCTAAAGTATACAACATTTTGGTTCATTCATTTGCAGGATGTACTGTTATTAAGTCAAGTTAAGCTATACTTCATTGTCCCCCTGTATTTACTTTCAACAAATATCAAAGCTAGAAATAGGATCCAAATCTAGTATTTCACATGTATTTATTGGAAGGAATAACCCTTTGATATCTGCCAAAACATTTTAAAATGGCCTCAAAAAAGACAAAGACTTAAGAACAAAGTTTATTATCAATCAAAAGTCCTCTTCACCTGTAGCAATAGACACTACCCTTGGCCAATTGGGCAGTGAAGGAATGTCTGCACCTCAACTGCCCCTGACATGCTTCATTCCTAATTTACACCCCACTCCTCACTTGCCCCCATGAGCCCTCACAAGTTTTCTCACTTAAGCTTTCAAACTTTTACAAGCCTCTATATACACACCCACTCATATGGCCCTTCCTCCTTCAGGCTAATGTGATTTCCTGCAGTGTCCTGATGAATTTGAATGATGGAACTCAGTATTATATATATTCACTTTGGCCTATATTTATTTTATGGAAGATTAGCAAGAGCGAACAATCCCAGTTATAATCAGCGTTTTGGTTTCAAGTTTTGCTCTGTACAATCTATTCTATAGTGTTTTTGTTTTTTTTACTTTTATATCTCCAGTCCAATAATATGTGTGGGTGTTGATGCAGCCGTCTCCAATTGACCTACATAATTCCACTTTTCACAGTGGAAGGCAACTCAGCACTATTACCTACGCTTCCACTAGATGGCAGTGTCACTCTACAGGACAGCCAGTGCTACCACTCCCAAGCATAATGAAAATCACCCTGTCATGAGAGATGTGTCTAAGGGGTTGGTACTTATAATGGAATACAAGAAACCTGTAGATTTTTACAAACAAGCATTATGAGAATTAATCCGTTTTTCATTTGCATTTATAACCACGTATAAACCAGTGTTGGTATACAAACAACCTAAACCAACACTGGTTTATACTTTTTCCCCATATCTGGCATTGTTCCTAGGTTAATGTTAGTCCAGGACACACACAACACCTATATGCAAGCAGCACACACAGAAACCATATGGATTTCCTGTCTCTGAGTCGACAGTGGCTGATATATCCAGATTAACTTCCATGGAGCCACAGTATCCAGCTTTGATTTAAGGCACAGAGGAGATGTAATGTTTGTCGAAGCGATTAGCAAGATCTGAGCTGGCACCGACTTGAATAACAAGCGCCAGATATCTAGGTAAACTTCGATAATGTGTGGCACGGCATATTGTCCCTGCAATGCAAATACGTGTATGTGAGAGATTGGACGTGTTGTATATATAAACATAAGCCACACAGCGATATTGCTGCTGTGTGGAATGAACCGAGGGAAAACCTATGCATTTTAGAGTTGTTTTCTTGGTTTGCGGGCTGGAAATGGAGTATCTATCCATACTTGGCCTGGTACTGACCTTTTACAGCCTTCATCTTCGTGTCTTGTTAACACCAGCATGCAGCCACACAGGAGATTCACAGCTTTGTCCATGCCTCCTCAGCAGAATGAACTCTGCAGACACTTGCCTTCTTTTCTGGATCCTTAGAACAAGACAAATCAGAAAAAAAAGATGACTAACTATGGTTTAAAAGGCTCTCACTTTCAAACTAAGAGAAAGAATGGACAGCCTGGGTTCACAATTATTGATCAAGGGGACTTCGAGAAGAAAATGAAACGGTCACTGAACTGTTTCAAAGCAAGTTTGTTAACTGAGGTGACGAGTGGAGCAGCCAGTGGTGCCATTACCTCTCCACAAATGAGCCATGTCTGATCTCAGCCCGGTATGAGTCTGGTGTGTAAGAAATAAAGTGTATTTTGAACCTTCCATAGACTTAAATATAGACTTAAGTACTTGGTTACATGTGGTACATACATGAGTATTCATTGTAAACATACATGTCGTTCTGGACTTCAGACCAAACTGGTTATTACAGATTTTGAACAAAATCCCCCATTGGTTAAGTACAGTATTAAGCTAATAATCTGTTGGATTTAATTAAGATAACTAAGTGACTAAAATAATTTAAGTGACATTTAGCCATCTTTACCACATAAACTTAGCCTGGACATAGCCATCTGTACACTCTTCTCAATTATCATTTCCCAATTGTACTAAGCCTGGTCGTACCACACCAAACATAAACTGCACTTGACGTACTTTGTTTGCACCTGACTTTATCCAAGTTAGGTGCAAACAAACTAAATCAATTCTTTATTTCCAAAAGGGTGTGAAGACTTTTTCAGTGTCCAAAAAGCTATAATAAAACTATGCATTAACCTGAAGTGAACACGGATTCTCTTCCATTGGAGCTTAATAGTCACAATGTGATTCTTGCTAACATTAAATCAAACTGCTATATCTAAATAGAATGCAGTTTCTGTCCAATTATACACATTCTGAACAATAACACAGAATTTATTTGCTGAAATGATTTTTGTGAGGATTTAAGACTGCAGCATCCCGGAGATTTCCAGTACATGCGTTTGACTGCTTTGTCAGCGATCTGCCGATACATACCCTTTCTCTCATCATAAAAATGCTGTATGTTCTGCCATCCTCAAGGCCTCACATACAATGGGATTTGCTCACTGTAAACAAGGTCGACCAAAGAGATATGGCCTCACTCTCCTCACCGATGCAGAGCTGCGAGCCCCTTCACAGCCATAGCATGTAACTGCCCGCATTAATGTTACATCAATAATGCATTTGTGCCTCAGCCTTTCATGTCTATGGAAGTGAGATTCCTCCCAAAAAAATACAATTTGCTTAAAGCACAGAAAATTCTCCCTGCATGTATTTCATGTCTCGATGATTTCCATTTAAGACTGCATTCGTTTTCAGTAGATGCTCTGTTTTGCTCCTCGGGGCGTTGTGGGGACGCTTGCTTACATCTGTGGGTTTTTGACAGTGTGATAACAATAGCACACTGTGACAGAAATCCAGGCTACTTTAAAAGACTAAACTAAATAGAAACAACCGCAGATGCAAACCATATTGACATTGGATCACACTCACTCTGAGGATAAAACAAAAGCATTTTTCAATTTATCAAAGCTTATGACAGTGTGTTAAGTGTCAGTGTGGGGATTAAAAGGGCATAACATGTAATCACTTTATGCATTGCACTCTCGAAGCATTATTTTATCAGTTTGAAAGTGGGTGGGGGGCTTTTCCTAAACCGGTATTAGACCCAATTCACCTATGGACGTTGACTGAGGCACTGTATGCGACACTGTTCTCTGTTCCTTTGAAAACCCAGACCACAAACAGATACGTTTGAACTGTTTTCAGAGGACTTACTTAACACCACATAGATTTTTCTCCACTAAGTGCAAACTGAACCAGATAAAATACCTCATGTAGTTGTTATCTTGGGAAACATATCTTTGAAATGATGCAAAACATTCCTTACTAGTTCAATTATTCCTCTTGCTATCAATGTTTGCAAGTTTCGAAAATGATTTCAAGTTATACCTCTAGGACACCCCTTGGGGTCTTTGTTCCCTCAGATTGATTTCGTACTTGTGTGTTTGCATGCACACGTATTTACAACATAGATTCAGATTCATGTATTTGCCATCTGCAGTAAAACCACATTGGAATACATTTGCAAAAGTCCCCAGTGTGCACAAGACAAGTACTTGTATAAAACAAGATTAAAAGTACAAAAATAAAACAAACTAAAAAAGTGCAGGAAATAATTGACACTAAATGTAATTGATCGACTAAAACCGTTTTAACACGAGTGCATATATACAGTAGCACTTCTATATATAGAAGATCTATATTTTGATTCAGTGAAAAAGTAAAAGTACAAGAAACATGTGTAGTAGTATGACCATGACCCTTACTAAAGAGAAGCCTCCTATCTGACCTAGTAGCTACTCTCAAGCAGCCTATCTGACTGGGGTCACGCCTGCTGCACTAATGCTTTCACATGTCACTTCCCCGGTCGCTTCTCTTATCTCTGGTCAAGCTCCATCAGAGCGGCAGCCACAACTTTGAGGCTTTATGACCAAGAAAGTTACACACAAAACAAGCCAATGGACAAGTCTGTTGCTCTGCAGAAAAAACACTTCTCAGGGCCGAATTAAGTTTTCATGACAGGAAGAATCTGATATTTGGGAAAAATTGATAATCGGGGTAGTACTATACAATATGACTATTTTTGGAGAGACCTTCACAGGCAATGCATTCT